TATATCAGTATGTAGTGTCTCTACTTTAAAGAGTCCTCTCCTGCTGATGTTCAGGTGTATATCAGTATGTAGTGTCTCTACTTTAAAGAGTCCTCTCCTGCTGATGTTCAGGTGTATATCAGTATGTAGTGTCTCTACTTTAAAGAGTCCTCTCCTGCTGATGTTCAGGTGTATATCAGTATGTAGTGTCTCTACTTTAAAGAGTCCTATCCTGCTGATGTTCAGGTGTATATCAGTATGTAGTGTCTCTACTTTAAAGAGTCCTCTCCTGCTGATGTTCAGGTGTATATCAGTATGTAGTGTCTCTACTTTAAAGAGTCCTCTCCTGCTGATGTTCAGGTGTATATCAGTATGTAGTGTCTCTACTGGGACATGTCTCCATGCTTTAATGTTCAAAAAGCTCTTTATTTTTCTCATACTGTCTGTGCTGCAGCACCTCTTTTCACCCTCTGTCTGAAACCAGAGCCCAGTCTGCTCTGATTGGTTAGCTGGCCGGCTCTGTTGTGATTGGTCAACCTCTTAGAGATGTCCCGCCCCTTAGCCTAACAATGTGTTGGAGCGCTAGCCAATACATTGAAGAGAAGTGTTTTGAGGCACTTTATTTAAAGCTTCCTAACCGTTCAACACACTCCCACCGGTGATAGTCCTTTCTTTGTTTAACGACCATATCGCCCTGCTTCTGTTTTTTATTTTTCTCAAAGGCTAATGAAACTTCTCGCAGACCTCTGGCACTTTGAGTGAGTGTGTTGGACAGTGCATTAATACTGCTCTTAAGAAGAGAGAGATTGAGAGTGGAGGCCAGAGGAAATGGGGGGGGGGTTGCTGTGTGGCGGATAAAGAGGGGAGCGGGAGTGCGCGAATCTGGAAATTCAATTATAACCGTGCCCTGGCAGTAATTCCACTGGTATAAATGAGACGGCGAAGCGAGCAAAGCGATGGATAGAGATGAATGAAGTGTGAAAGAAAAATAAAAGCAGAGAAGAAGAAGTTAGCCGAGTGCAAAATCAGTGTGTGCATCGTCAACAGCCTCTATATTCAACTTGCATTAACCCCCGAATGGTTTCTGTATCCTGGGGGGATATACTGTAGTCATTTGACTTATAGTATAATATGGGTTTAATTTTGGTGTTACATATGTAATAGCAGTGTATTATGGATGTAATAAGGGTGTAACATGGGTGTCATAACAGTGCATGGGTGTTTTAATGTGGAATATGGGTGTAACAACAGTTTAATATGTGTACTATTGGTGTAATAGGGGTCTAGTAGCATTGTAATATGGGTGTAATAACAGTGCAATATAGGTAAACTATGGGTATAATACAATTGTTATATGGGTGTTAAAACAGTGCGATATAGGTGTAATAGGGGTCTAATAACACTGTAATATGATTGTAATAACAGTGCAATATAGGTATAATAGGGGACTAATAATATTCTAATATGGGTTTGCCGTGGGTAAAATAAGGGTGTAATAATGGTGTAACATGGGTGTATAAATATCATATATACGTGTAATGTAGAAAATAGCAATCGATTTAATTTTCCAAAATATCTAAATGTGATTACCAATTTAAGGGTTAAATACTTTTATACTTCACATGATAACGACGGGTTTTTAATCTCACGAATGCACTATTTGCAACAGGGTTCTGCAAGCTTTTGTCATGCATGTTGTAGCCCTCAGCGAGCCACCTCAATGGTATAGTCCTGATCTCATTAATGCAGAAACAAGGTAACGGATCAGCCCATGTGCGTCCCCTGGGAGGGGGAGGTTAGCCTTTGATGCTGACTGAAGCACAGAGAGAGTCCTGAGGAGCCGGAGAGATTTCAACACTCTGCCTCCTGTCAGATACAACTGGCTTTACTCACACGAGACATATGTTACATGGATAGACCATTATCATCAGAGGTGGGAAGTAGTGGAGTACAAATACTTCGTTACTTTACTTAAGTACATTTTTCTGGTATCAGTACTTTACTCCACTATTTATTTTTCTGACGACTTTTTACTTTTACTTTACTACCCAAATACCTGTACTTTCTACTTCTTACATTTTGAACCCAAATACCTGTACTTTCTACTTCTTACATTTTGAACCCAAATACCTGTACTTTCTACTTCTCACATTTTCCAAACAGGCTGGTTCCTTTAGTTTGAATGTGTGTTTGGTGGCGTGATCATTATTATTTAGAGTCATTGCGTGCCTATTGATTTGAACACGATCCGTGTATCCATCATTTCCTGGTCTTCTCTAAAGAAGAGAAAACTTTGATTAACTATGATTGCATCAACAGTAAAGCGTGTTTACTACCTGGTGATACGCCATTTGATTTAGTTGAGGGCTGACATCCTCCTGACTGTGGTCACATAGACGCTTCGTAATTTGGTCAAAGGTCTCTTGCCGTTCTTTGATTTGTTTGATTTCGGTGTCGGGACATTTGCCAAGAAATTCAAGATTTTAGTCATCTTTAAAGTTACATTTTTCCATTCTTTGTGTTACTTGCTTTAGGTCAGACAATAACTGTGTTTAAAGACTGAGAGAGCTATCAGGTTTTTATACTATCCATATCTTCACTACTACTATCAAAAGTCTCTTGTCGTTCTTTGATTTCATTGATTTCGTTGACGGACATTAGCCAAGGAATTCCAGATTGTCGTCGTCTTTCAAGTTAAACACTTTCCTTTGTGTCTTGATGTAACTTATCATTGTTTTTCACCATAGGATGTTTGTTTTCTTCTGGTTTAGCACCAGCTACCATAGAAGCGTCACCAAAACACTCCGACTAGCACACTGTAAATGTTCTGGACGGTGAATAAAAGGCGATTGGTAATTTTGTCAAAAGTCTCTTGGGGTTCTTTGATTTGATGGATTTTGGCGTTGGAAAATTCCAGAATCTTGTCGTCTTTCAAGCACAACATTTTTGATTTGCCTCTTTGTCAGCCGAGATTTGTGTCTAAAGACCAGTGGCGAACCGTGTCTATCACAACTGGACCTTCTGTAGACACACACACACCCCCCGCCAAATCAATATATGATTGGTTGATCAAACTGTCAATCCAAACGTACGCTCTCAGTCAGTGTGAGGGCCAGGGCATTCTATCAAGGATATAGAATAACTTGGTTGAAGGATATTCTACCCAGAGACCCAGAACAAGATCTGATTGGTTGCTTTCTTTTCTAACACAAAACCACTGAAATGCATAGGGCATGGACCGAGAAGGACAAACAAATCAATGTAACACTGTAATATTACAGATCAACAACACAGATACGATTCTCATGTATTCATTTTATTACATTTTATTTATATAATTAAATCGATTTTTTGTTTGTTTTATCTGAGTGTTCCAGGGTATTCTCTGAACACCTTGAAGGCCCTGACGGTTCGCCACTGCTAAATACTGAGAGAGAAATCAGGTTTTTCTGCTATCCATATCATCACTTCTACTATCAAAGTCTCTTGCCTTTCTTTGATTCGATTGATTTTGGCGTTGGACACTAGCCAAGGAATTGCAGAAACTTGTTGTCTTCCAGGTTAAACATTTCCATTTGCGTCTTCGTGTAACTTACAATTCTTCTTCACCCTAGGATGTTTTGACACACCTACTCGCATGTTGGACAAAGATCGACCCTTATCACACACATGATGTGTCGGACATTATTTGGATTTGTATTAGGAAGCTGTTGGGTAAAGTCTGTTTAATATCTAGTCCGAATGATTTGGACATTTTCACATTTCACATATATCTTCTCTGGTTAATGTCCAGATAACTTCAGGGTTGCACTTGTGTGAAAGAGGCTACACAGTCCGACTCATTCTGACAATTCACCATGTTTACTGTAGAAGCATGAATATCCATGAACACAAACACACCGCTGTGTATTGTGTTGACTCAGCCGTGCTCAATAACAAACCCATGTCACATAACTGCAATGTTGTCTAGACCAGCGCTTCTCACCTCCTCCTCCTCTTCCTCTGTCCGGTGGCAAGACTTTCCTATCAGCGATGACTATTGTTTCTGACTGTGTCAATGTTTTGGATGGTAGTACATTCTGTATCTCTCATATTCAGATTTGTGATCAGCTCGATCGAAATCAGTCGGATGTCGCAACGTTGCATTTCGAGATAATCATTGGTTTATGTCAAAATGTTTGTTCGATGATTTTGGGGTTTTGGTTTATTCTAAACAAAAGTCTTGGCTTTCTGAATATCATACTTTTATTGCTATTTTCCCACATAAATATGTTTTTGAGGCTTGTAAAGAAAGCCCCCTCTTAAAATAACTATGGCTTAAACGTGTCGGCAAACTTTAACACCTTTTTCTCTCTTGATAACATTCTTTATGTTATTTGAAACATTTTCATGAATATTTTAAAACCATAAGCAATAGGGATATCACTGGAAAGCTAAGACTCTCCTCTTTCCAACGGTGTATGTAACTGTATGACACGATGTGGTACGGGGTCGATGTGACTGATTTTGAGAGCCGGTCACATTTATCCTCTCCAAGGGACTTAGTTAGTGAATGCTTTTATGTACAGCATGTCCATATTGGTGCCATTTCTAGTGCATTCCTTAACCTTTATGCTTGATATTTAGAAGGTTACGTTGAAATTGCACCGCTCTTACACAGCTGTAATAAAACAAATTAGTGAAAATGATCAATGAGATTAAGGACAGCAGCTTCGAGTCCCGAGAATTTGCTCCAGCCACCCCCGTGTACAAACTCATTAAAGGAGTCATAAAGGCGACTAATGAAAATCATGACCGGTATCATTACAAGCCCACTGGTGTCCTCTCGCGAGCGGGAGAATAAAGGAGGCTAAATTAATGTTCCCACCAATAATGTTACAAAGCCAGCGCCGTCCTTTAAGCAGTGTCTGTTCTCCTCTGTGTGTAGAGCCAACTCAATTAAAGTTCAAGCCAATATTGTTACGTAACCATTTAACACTCTGCCTCTTTGTTCCCTTTTGTCATTTTTTATTTTTTTATAGGATGACGACTCCATGTTCTTTCAATTCGGCCCGTCCATCGAGCAGCAGGCCTCGGTCATGCTGAACATCATGAAGGATTACGACTGGTACATCTTCTCCATCGTCACCACGTACTACCCGGGGTACCAGGACTTTGTCACCAAGGTAAAATCACTCGGAAAGACAGCATATAGTCAAGGTTCAAGGTTCAAGGTTCTTTATTGTCAAACTGACATAGCTACAGAGTAATTATGTCATTGAAAATCTTATGTCACAGGCTTCTCCAACAATGCAACATAATAACAATACAGATAGTAAAAGTAATACAAAAAGAAAAATAGTTCTAAAATAAAGTGAGTATGTGGAATAGTGCAGTACGAGTCTATATACAAGTTATTAGAATGATATATATTAGATAGTAGATATATATTACTAAGTAGCAGATGAATGTTTTGAAGTTGTTTCAGCAGTTCAATTGTTTAACAGTCTCACTGCCCGCGGGAAGAATGTAAATGCAGAATCACACAGGACAGGAAAGGAACGTTTTTCTCTGTAAAAGTAAATATAGTTATGGAGACAGGTTTGTTAAACATTCAGTATTTGTTACGACCCCCACAATCAAGCTCTAATAATGTCCAATACTTTTATGTTAGTGTGATCAGTTTGGTACCTTAAGATTTGATTCAATTTCTTTTAACAATATTGATTGTTGTGCTTTTATTTATGTCTTAATGTGTGCATATGTATACATGTGTCTGTTGATTGTGTATATAAAGGTATATACATATTTGTATTTTTGTATTCGGGATTGTGGGAAACGGTTTTTCGATCTCTCTGTACACACAAACTGAAAGTTCACTTTGACTTTTATCAGAACCATAGTTATCCCATGGAAATTGGGTTTTCGTCATAGTTGCTCTACTTTGGAATAAAATCAAATAATAGAAACGGAATAACAAATATTTACATTAACACAATGAGTTATGTTAAAGTTAAAGTAAGTATATGAAATAAAATAAAAATATTGATATCAAAATAAACAGTTAACCTGTTAAGCCCCAAAGACCCCGTCGGCGAAAAATGTTTTTATTTTTTTATTTTTTATACATTTTTTTAATTCTAATTTTTTTTCTTTGGATGGAATGAATACCTATGGTGATAATTCAATGTAATACACCATTTTTATAGTCTGGTACCTGAAAAAGGTCAAATGGCACTGATGGAACCAGATGTACCCAAATGTGCCGAAAGCTTATTCCGCCTGGAACTTTTTTTTTCTAAACCTCTCTAAAAGGTCAAATTTAACTTGTTTTGCCTCAATCTTGATACAGGGTACTTATTATATGTTATAGTTTGGATTCCTAAAGCTTATAGTCTACCATCCCATCATTCAAGGGTGGTTTTCACTATAAGTAATGTTTTTTCTTTAGGCGGAGGTAAGAATTTACCTTTTTTTGCTATGTTCCATCTGAATTTACTCTGACTGAGAAAAATCTATATTGATTCTGACACTTCTACATCCAACTCACAGATGTAACCTTGCTTTGATAAAAGAAATTATTCATATAACCCTTTTACAAGTTAAGTTGTAGTCATTTGTTTGGGGCATGTCATTTTCGAGCCTGAAACCTAAAAAACAGGCTCGGGGCTTAACGGGAAAAATGTGCACATTTTACTACAATATATATATTCTAGATTACAATAAATACAGTGGTGCATTAGTATTAATAAGATATTAATGCTGAATTGAACAGTTTGAAAGGTAGTTAATACTAAGAGACACAATATGTTTCAAATGAATTCTCGATTCAAATCAATATTTCTTGACAAAACTCCGAGTGCTGATGTGCAGCATAACAACGTTTTAAACCTCTTGATCTTTTGTGAATCAATTCAAAATCTTAGAAGATAAGAAACTCAATTTTTCAACCCTACATTTTACATTTAATTAAGTACCAGTCCCTCTCTTCTGATCTGTTTCTTCTCCCTGCAGATCCGTAGCACCATCGAGAACAGCTTTGTGGGCTGGGAGCTGGAGGAGGTCATACTGCTCGACATGTCCGTGGATGACGGAGATTCAAAGATCCAGAACCAGCTGAAGAAGCTCCAGAGCCCCGTCATCCTCCTCTACTGCACAAAGGAGGAGGCCAACACCATCTTCGAGGTGTCGCACTCTGTCGGGATCACCGGATACGGCTACACATGGATAGTGCCCTCGCTGGTAGCTGGAGACACTATTGTAGTGCCTGCAGAGTTCCCGACAGGTAGGACATCTCTACTCAAATACTATTCTTAAAGGTCCCCTATTATACTGTTTTTCATCAATATATTATAGGTCTCAGATATATACAGAGCCTGTCTCTGATTGGCCGAAACACCAAACAGATCATTGCAGCATCCCATAATCCCCTCTGTTTCCAAAGTGCTGATTCTCTGTCTGTTACTTTAGATGAAAATAAGGAGCCCCTCCCCACGCCCCTCTGAGAGAGATTTGGTTAAAAAGAACACAATGGTGCTCTAGGAGGAGATTCAGGTGATAAGGTGGGGCGGGGTTACCTTGGTTGCTGATTGGCTAATGGTTACACAAGCCAAAACATCGTTATGACATCATAAAGTGGCCAAAATCTGATCAGCTCATTTTCAGACAGGTTTTTATAAAAATGGATCAGGACAAAAAGAGAGAGAATCTTTGTTCCTGAAACTTTCAGAATCTCTTTACACAGAGGGGACACATGTTGATGTAGAAGAGACATGAAGAAGAGGGGACACATGTTGATGTAGAAGAGACATGAAGAAGAGGGGACACATGTTGATGTAGAAGAGACATGAAGAAGAGGGGACACATGTTGATGTAGAAGAGACATGAAGAAGAGGGGACACATGTTGATGTAGAAGAGACATGAAGAAGAGGGGACACATGTTGATGTAGAAGAGACATGAAGAAGAGGGGACACATGTTGATGTAGAAGAGACATGAAGAAGAGGGGACACATGTTGATGTAGAAGAGACATGAAGAAGAGGGGACACATGTTGATGTAGAAGAGACATGGAGAAGAGGGGACACATGTTGATGTAGAAGAGACATGAAGAAGAGGGGACACATGTTGATGTATGAAAGACATGAAAAAGTGGATTTTGCATAATAGGTGACCTTTAAAGGCCCCCCATGAAAGTTGTAATTAAGATCCAAAAACCCTACAACTGTATATGTAACGCCATAGTCAGAATTAGGAATTTAAACCAGATCTCATTTTAATCTGACACAATCTCAGTGTGGAAAGATGTTTGCTTGCCTTGAGCTCAGATGCTAAGCCCTTTGTAAGCACAGCAATTACATTACATGCTGGATTTGTTTGATTCTTATCCACAAGGGGTGACAAAAGTACCATAAACACATGCACTTTCTATGTGGTCTCAGTCAGATCCCAGACCCTCATACTGTTCTTTGATTCTGCGATGCTATCCTCTACTACGGGATGGTTGAGGTTTTAGTGGTATTCGGAATAATCAAATATGTAGCTAGAAATGTATTGTTATGACATTTGAGAATTTGTTCAGCCATACATCCATTGTATGCTGAAAAGTAGAGTTAAAGCCTCAAAGAAGTGAGCCTGTCATTGAAGCACTTTTTCTGTTGTGGCCAAATGCTTTTTCTACAACTTTTGTGTCAGTCTGTGATGGAATTTGGATCCAAAAGACATTTTTCTCATGAATTGTGAGATGCATTGAAAGTCGTTGCAATGCTAACAGCTAACAGCTAACAGGAAGCGCTGAAGCAGTAACATCATGTTGTTATTGTTGTGCTGTTGTCTTGATTACATGTTTGCTGTGTGAGTTAATACACGTACCATTAACCTTGTGTCCAAAACGAGCCACCAGTGGCGAGCCGTCAGGGCCCTCTAGGCCCTCTGTGAGGGCCTAAGATATTCCAAAAAATAATATTTAAAAACATTAAAAAAAAAATATTTTTTTAAAATATATATTTTTTTAATATTATTTTTGTTATATTTTTCATTAGTTTTACCGAAAAAAAACTTGATTTAATAAAATAACATTTCCAAAGAAATAAATCCTTCGAATCTGCCTGTTCAGTCTCTGTTTGAATGTCAGTTACTATAGCGGGCCTCTCTGCGATTCACAGAGGGCCCGCTATAGTAACTGAACGAGAGAGTAATGTCAAATGACAGTACAATTGACCAATCATATCTTCCCTCTAAATGGGTGGGTTTTATTATCGCAGACTTTATGACGAGTTCCGCCCGCTGTGAAACTTTTCTTGTTTCCATAGCAACAACAACTTCCTGTCAACAGCGTGAACTCGCCTTCAAAATAAAAGCATGCCAAATTACACTTAAGACATACAACTGCAACGAAAGTAACAAACACAATGCAATATCATTTTCAATGTCAAAGAACACAAATTGGGTTCACAGGTGTTGTTTTGTGTGGTAGAGGGTCGCTGTCATTGATGCGTTTTGCACCCTGGGCCGTTGTTTTGATATTCCGCTGAAGTATACGCTGTGACGTAATAACGTCTTTTTTTCGAAGGAAGGGGTGGGGGTCAGAGGGCCTAGGTATAAAGCTCACGGCTCGCCACTGCGAGCCACCATTTATTAATTAAGCAATATATGATTTTCTAAAACAAACGTTGCTAACTAGGTACAGTAGCTAACATCCGCAACGGTCACTTCCGGTGAGGGCACAGCGAAATGTACGCACTACACAAGTGTTTAAAGTGCAAGATATGCAGTGTATTAAGGGAAGTATAGGCAGAGGTGATGTTAGCCTGCTGTACAGTGATCTAATGCCTGGCGTTGACACCACAGATACATCATCGAGCCTTTTGAAATGTTTCTTTCCAAATGTTCAGTTTGATATTTAGATTTTTTTTTGTGTGAAAAACAAACTGACCTTTCAATATAAGCAGTAAGGGAACATCTCTTCCCGCAGTCCCCCCCTTTACACCACTGGAGGTCATTTTAACCTTTGAAGGTCAAATGTGGAACCAAAGTGACATCCAAGTTGGGGCGCATTAACTCTGAACCTGCTCACGCAATCCGTCAGGGACACCTGTCAGACTGCTTCATGTAACAGGACTTTCAGTACTTAGGGGAAGGGGGGCAGACACTTATAGAAAGGCCATCTCTCAGTGGGAGTCTAACAGTTAGTGATGGGGCCACCATTAGGCCTCGTTCCCACAGAGCGCCTTTTACAGGCATAAATGCTCCTTTCAACTTAACGTCCAAAAACACTCTTTTTTTTTAAAAGGCCCTATTATGCTATTTGGTGTTTTCCCTTTCTTGTAGTGTGTCATATGTTTTTTTTTTGCATGTAAATGGTCTGCAAAGGAAGTTTCCTCCATATGTCTCCTTTGTTAGTGACATCACTATGTTATACTCGCTCTTCTATTGGCTAGTGCTCCAACACATTGTACGTGATAGGCTAAGGGGCGGGACATCTCTAAGCGGTTGACCAATCACAACAGAGCCTGCCAGCTAACCAATCAGAGCAGACTAGGCTCTGGTTTCAGACAGAGGGTGAAAAGAGGTGCTGCAGCACAGGCAGTATGAGAAAAATAAAGAGCTTTTTGAACATTAAAGCATGGAGACATGTCCCAGTAGAGACACTTAACACAAATATGAACCTGAAAATGAGCTTAATAGAGCCCCTTTAATGATTCTATGATAACGATATATTGACTATCACTGCTTTTGGACAAACTAGCTCCGCCCCCTCAGATTTTTTTAATCTATTTTGGCTGCTTCATATTTGTTTGACATAGTTTTTTCTCCATAACAACCAACCTGAAGATGCTTTCTCTCACACTTCGAATAAATGAGCTTCACCGTTTAGTCTGACAGCAGTAGAGCAATGATTGACTTAAGATTTAAAAAACACTCAGAAGCTACATTCAGTATCCGCAAGGCCAATCTGCTCAAATAAATAGTCTTTGTTATGATGGATCCCACCTGAAAGACACAGCCAAAAACAAGCTTTCTCGTCTAATTTCTACAGTGGGGTCACCAGTGCTTTTCTAAAAAGTTTGAAGCTTCAAAACTCAAAGTGCTCTGAGGCCAAGCACAAATATGGCCAAAGGGTTCAGAAATGAAATACACTTTTTCTTGAGGTGACTCATGAGGTGGCTCACTCTTCAATAAAAACGATTGAAAAAGATGCTTGTGCTCAGGAAAACGCTCTGTCTAGACACAGGCTTTTGACACATTTGTACTCTCAGTATGACAGAGACATCTCAGAGCAGGTAGTAAATGTTGGCCTGAAATATGAACCTGATAATTAGTTTGGTGTTTGGCTTGTTGATTTACAGCGAAGGGGAGATATTACACCGATGCTCGTCCTCAGAATTTCTGGGAAATGTCTGCCAGGAAGAACCTGAGGTCGCTGTGGCGTTCAAGTCCAGTAACTCAAACTTCTTGCATTGGCAGCCATGGATGATTTACTCTAGATGGGAGTTTGGAGTGTGTTTTGTGCGATGTCTGTTGTTGTATTTTCTTTTAAATTGGTTTTTGGCAAGAAAATAACAGGTGAGTTTAACCCAGGGGTGTCCAAACCTTTTTCACCGAGAGCCACATACAGAAAAATATACGAAGGGCTGGGCCACTCACTAGAGGTATATATATATATATATTATAAGTTAGCAAAATCAATCAAATGTAGGTAGATGATGCTTGTGAGTGTTGGCAGGTCATGCCTTAAAACAGAAGCCTCAGATTGCTTATCATAAGAGGAAATAGGAAGGGTTTATTTCAAGGTTGTCATGTAAATAAGTCATTGGGCTTTTTTCTTATCAACTTAGATTTGTTAGAACATTTTTCCAACTTGAATTGACTGAACTTATTTGAAAAGTGGGCTTATTAACACGTGAATACTACTGTGTAATATATGTTTACATTTATATTTAAGAAGTACAATATAAGACAAGCACACGTTTCATTTGTGGGCCATATTCCATTATACTTTTTGAATTTGCTGAGGGCCGATTCAAAATGGTCCGCGGGCCGCATTTGGCCCCCGGGCCGTAGTTTGGACACCCCTGGTTTAACCAAATGGGTTATTTCTTGGTGCTTTTTCGTACAGCAAAAGTGTTTACCTTGGGTGAAAAATACTGTGTGTGAGTTTCTCTGTTCCAAATTAAAGTTACACTCTATAAAGTTTGATATATCACCGTATCTGTTATGTAAATCACACAACGACTTCGCTCTTGATTTATGTCTCAGGGAGATAATCGTGACTTGCTCGTGTTGC